GCTATAATTTTTATTATATTTATTTTTACAGTTTTTTAAACATTTTTAATTAATTAACTTTTTATGCCCACAATTTAATTTTTTGAATTGTCTATTTTTGTCATTGTTTATGTTAAAATACATATATTGTGTTGATAAGCCTGAGTGGTCTGTTGACTGACCTTTGTATTTGTTCAAATAGTTGTTATGGGCAGGTTACAATATAAAAATGTTTGTTATAATCATGATTATTTGACAGGAGTTTTACTTTTAAACTGTAAGTGTATTTAATTTAGTTATGATAGTTATGATAGTTTAGTTATGATGTAAATACAATAAAAATCAAACTAAGGTTTATAATAATTATCATTTGATCCATACATTGTTAATGTCTGACTGGACCTCTTTATGTTTAATAAACTGGGCCCTGAGGTCAGAAAGGTGAAGACCCCCTGATATGTGGGGTCTATGTGGCCTCCTGGATCTGTAGTGTAGGACTGACCCTCCTYTCCTCTGCTGCAGGATCGTATGGTGGCCCGGCTCTGACCAGTCTGGAGCTGGTGGACTACCCAGAGACCCTGCTACCTGAAAACGCTCTGAGGAGTCTGACGTCGCTGCGCTCACTGTCGGTCCGCTACAGGTACATCAGAGAAGGTGTGGAGTGTCGCCTCAGGTCCTGGATAAGTCCTCTGCAGCAGCTGGAGTCCCTCACAATCATCGGTGAGTGAGTCCTCCTCAGACTCACTGGCTCTTAAAGTACCTGTGACGTCTTTTTTCCTAATAAATATGAATTCATTTTTGAAAAGATGAGATTGATAAAATATTGCAAAAGAAACCCTGACGGCTGAGATGAACAGTTGTTCAGATATTCATGTAACAGGAAGTGATGTCAAAGGTAAATGTCTGCATGTGAGCAGAGCTGAGACTGTGGAGAAGAACCTGATGTTTCTTTATTCTTCTGAGTCACAGTTCAAATATTGTTTCAATAAACAAAAACCAGAGTTCCTTTTCTTTAACAGTTRRKCTTTCATGTCACTTCCTGTTTCATTTTGGCTGAGCCAAGTTCAAAAGAAATGATGCAAGTTTTGTGACAAAATGGGTAAAATTGTGTGTTTTATGCCAAGTTTGTTAAATATAAAGTGGTTTTGACGTTTTGTATTTGAAAGTCATGCATGTCACAGTTTACAGGTCAAATGAAGGAACAAAACAAATGTTTTTCACAGTAACAGTTCTGGTTTAAATTATTTACAACTGTAATAAAATATAAAAATGTACAACTTTKCAGCTGCTAAACAGAAACAGATGTTTGTGAGGTAAACATCTGTAGCTCTGTGACGTCAGTCTGMATGAAGTCAGCATAGAGCTAATCTAAAACTAAATCTAAAACACTAAAACAGGTGGTATTTACCTGCAGTGTGAGTCCCCGCCCACCGCACACCTGCTACACCAGGCTCCCTCTCTGGTTAGATGCTGCAGTCCTGCTCAGTGTTTCAGGCCTGATAGGCTCATAGCTTCAGTGCTTTGCTGCAGTAGAAGCTCCTGTCATGCTGCAGTGTCCCACATGGTGGCGCTGTTCTAATCCAACATGATTAAATATTGGTGGTGGTGTGCTCCTTCACATCAAAACTGATGGATGGAGTCAAACTGTGAAGCACTAAAAACACAGAGTCTGCTGATCTTTAGGAAAACTCAAAAAGCAGGCAGCTGACCCTGCTCCATTCAAGCACCCAGAAACCACAAAATCACACCCAGATCCACAAAATCACACCCAGAAATCACTAAATCACACACAGAAACCACAAAATCACACCCAGATCCACAAAATCACACCCAGAAACCACAAAATCACACCCAGAAACCACAAAATCACACCCAGAAATCACTAAATCACACCCAGAAACCACAAAATCACACCCAGATCCACAAAAATCACACCCAGAAACCATTAAATCACACCCAGAAACCACTAAATCACACCCAGATCCACAAAATCACACCCAGAAATCACTAAATCACGCTCAGAAACCACAAAATCACACCCAGATCCACAAAATCACACCCAGAAACCACAAAATCACACCCAGAAACCACAAAATCACACCCAGAAACCACTAAATCACACCCAGAAACCACTAAATCACACCCAGAAACCACTAAATCACACCCAGAAACCACTAAATCACACCCAGAAACCACACC